GCACAGTTCCAGTGACAAATGACGCACAGAAGTGTTAGAATTGAGTATATATTTTAAGGTTTGCCTTTTAATTATATGTATCGTTTGACAACCGCTAAACACTGTGTAAGCAACTTTGAAAATCACTGGGATTTAGTTTAAAGGTGTGATAGGATCACATAATTATTAATTTTGTTTTTGCGTGCAATTGAAGATATGTGGATTCAATACAACGGTACCATAAGCCACACAACACATGCTGTTGATTTCTTTGGGCTATAAATTTGTTAGAGGATTTGAAAATTTGAATTTGAAAAATATTAACGCAAACAATTCGCAATGTTTCAATGTTTTGAAAACATACATCTATTAAAAATTTATAATTAACATCTTATTGTAATTATAAAATAATAATACTTTAATTAATAATAAGTATATAGGTATTTATAAAGATATAACCCAACCCTATTATCAACTTTGTGCCGACAAGTCCTCCAAAATTTATTCAAAATCATCCACTAGTTCTATTATGAGTTATCTTATACAACTCAAGTGAAACATATAAATAATGTACCCTATTACAAGTTCCATTCGTATTAAAGTAAAAATTTGATTAAAACCTCAATCAAAACTTTATTTGCTTTCATTTTGGTATGACAAGATCGATAACCCGGTATTACGTCTCTTGATTTGATTATTGCTTAACTTGGATTTTCTTTGCAATTAGAAATCTTTAGTATTTCAATAGATTAAGCCTTCCCAAAGTAAATTTTTGACTACGGACTTGCCAAAAACTTTCGCCCTTGTAAATGCCATTAAAGTATATAACGAGTATGTAAGCATACTCCATAGTACAGATACAATATATTATTTATTTATTTATTATAATTAATTACAAAATATAAAATATTATAACTACCAAAGATAAGAAAAACGAGCGCTAGCTGCCAGGGCCAGGCCTTCAGCCCGTGTTGACTACAATTTATTAATAGTATATATAACATATTACTATTTACGCATTATCTCACACAATCTCCATTCAACTATTTACAAATTTTTTTTTTGGTGGTGGTGTAAATCACCGAAAGCTACAGTGTGAGACTTGTGTACCCTCTTTTTTGAATGGATATATGTATGGTAGAACTTGAAGATTCATCGGCTGAAACCCCTTTCCAGTAATGACGACCAGAAAGGAGAGCAAGTTATATTTATAGAAGCCAGAAAACGTGGCTTTTCACAATTGCAAAATTGATTTTTTCTTAGATATAAAAAATTTTCTTTGTTAGTTTCAACGTTCAGTTTTCTGACCGCTTGTCTGATATTTGCACTTAAACACGTTATCGACGTGTAAGCATATCCGCCACAATTAATTGCGTTTAATAATATCACTAGGATCAGTTTTACTATATTTTATGTCTTTTGAATAGTTGTGGTGGATTCACTTAATTTACTTACTCTCTTTTACCATTGCAATTAAGCCTCTCCCGACGTCTGCAATCCGAACTCCTCCATTTAAAAATATACACAACTCCATATTACAAACTTATTACCCAATAAATTATTTTCGTTACATTACTCAACAGCAATTTTCGTTATAAATAATATCTCTCCACTTATTTTTGTATCTAGTCAAGTGAGTAAAATATGAAATTTTTGTATCAATTTAATTAAAGTAATTAGTTGTTATTTTTTATGAAATATGTATGTTAACGTACCATACCAAAACAGCATATATGTTTGTACGTATATGACGAGTATTTTTTTTTATATACGATTGATTGACTCTATGTACGTTTACATATAATCTTCTACCATTCATTATTTCGTCGTGCTAGTTTCTCAAAAATTCCACTGCACAAACTTTAAAGTTTACAAACAACTTCAAAACTTCAACCAGTTAAATATTTCTATGTTGTTGTTGTTGTTACTGCTTTTATATTCATTTGTTTTTTTGTAATACAAAAATAAAAATACGCGCCTTCTTGCTGCATCATCTTCACTGCTGCATTTAACGATGCACTATGAATGCTTTAGCCGACTAAACGAACTTTACATACAACAGAACGGAATCTGTAAAGCACAAGAAACAAAAACAAAAACAAAAGCAAGAACAAGAACAAAAAAAAAAATAAACGAAGTTAGAGATCATTGTTGTTGTAATGGTTTTAGTTGTTGTTGTATTTTTATTGTGTTTTTGATTTGTTGATCACATTTTTGTTTTTATATACGGTTGATGTTGATGTTGATGCAAGCATGTTTGTGGTGTGGTGTGTTGTGTTGTGTTGTGTGTGGTGTTTTTATTATTTGCGTTCGTTTACGTTCGTTTGAATTCGCGAACAACTTTCGTTGAAAATGATCGTATAGTAGCTGTCGTCGTTGAACGTTGTTGTTTTTGTTTTTGTTTTTGTATAGTCGTTATTGGTTTTATTGTTGCTGTAGTTAAGTTTGTTTTCGTCTGTGGCTGTTGAAATTGTTTTCATTCATGATTTGAGCGTTCATTCATGTGCACATTGTGTTCAAAACGGTTTGTCTGCGGTTTTTTCGGCGGTTATGCGTGAGGCGCTTGAAATTTTAAATCTTGCTGTTTTGTAATTATAAAATTAAATTTTAAAAATAGTGTGAAAATTGAAAAGTTTAAAAAAATATATTTTGTATAAAAAAATAATATAACACATAATTATATCTATTGTGTATAGTTTTCAAAGTTCAAAACACAAAAGTGCTGTCACTTAAAAACTTTGACATGTGCAAAGTATTGGCACATTTTTAGTAATGATGTGCGTACGTACCATATAGCGTATGCGAGAAAGTGTGTGTGTGTATGTGTGTGCGTATTTAAGTGTTGTAACGCGTGTAACGGAAATAGTTTTTTTAAATGGCGGTGTTAATGGCGCTTGTGATCATTTTAAAAAATTGCTACAATTTTCCGCCCAGCAAGTAAACAACTAATTTACATGTGTATGCGTATATGTAAATATTCACGTGAATGCACTGTAAAAAAAAAAGAGGAATACCACTAAATAAATAAGTTACTCGAATTGTGAAATTAATTTGTTTTTTTATTAATACACAAATGTAAATATTAATATTGTTTCAAATATGTGAAGTGTAATTAAAATTTTTTATCAAACCAGTGAATACAAAGTGAAATGAAGTGATTATACTCATACATATATTATCTATGTACATATATGGTTATGATGTAAATAATAAAAAAGCAAAAAGAAATATATATATTTAATGTGTTCAAATATTTTTATTACAAAAAATTATCGAATCCTTTTACAAAATAATATAAATTATAAAAATTTGTGCTAAAAATTTTTTTAATTATGAAAACGTTTTTATGAAATTATTTTACTATATA